GTCGAGGTCACTCTGAATCCTAGCCCGACCCTCCAGTGCATCTACTACTCCCCCCAGCTTGGTGTCCCCGGCACGCTTGCTGAGGGTGCAGCAAGGGCACACAGTTGTCATCATCGGGGACTGACCCAGAGACAAGGCTCGAGGTGAAAGGACTGATGTGCCTCCCGCAGTTACAGACTCGGCTGCCTTGGCCGGCACTAGCAGACACCTCCAAGCTGTCTTGTACAGGGGACCAGTTCCCTGGGGTTTGCTGGAACCAGGGTCTTGTCTGGGGCAAGACCCTTCTCCTCACTGGGTTTCTCTCGACCCCCGCCGGCCTTGCCCGTGTGGTCAACGGCTTGCAAAATCAATGGGGTCATGTGTCCGTAAAGCACCCAGGGTCCATCTGGATGCTGAGATGCTTCCTAAGCATCCCAACCTCCTGCCTGTTGCAGGGCCGGAGCGGGGCTGGCGGCGGGGAGGCGAGCGTGGCTGCGAAGGCAGCTGGGAGCAGGTTGCAGATCTCCGAGGTGCTGCATGGATGAGGGACTGGGCCGATGGCCAGAGCGTGCTGGATGCCGCAACGGGCCAGCTTTCCCCGGCAATTCCCCCCGCCTCGCCGGATGGCAGAGCGACGGGACTGGGCTTGACGTGTGGTGAATGTGGGAGCCAGTCCCCGTCTTGCTGGAGCCACAGCTGTCCCCGAGGAGGGAAACGTGGCGTGCAACGAGGCTGGGGGCTGCCAGCGGGCATGGGCATGCGAGGGGGCTGGGGGGTCTGCATGCGTGTACCCCTCTTGGCTGCCCCGGCTCCCTGCCCGGGGCTCTTGCTGTCTCTGCACGGAGCCATCCCGGCCAAACAACCCGGCAGAGCCTAATGAAACCCAGGTGGGGAGCAGGCCGGTTGGGCGGGGGGCTGGCCGGGTGCCAGGGACAGAGCAAGACCCCGAAAAGAAATGCAAACCTCGCAGCGGGAGGGAGGCAGACACCAGACCCACCCCTTTCCCGCAGACCCAGCCGGGCCGAGGAGAAAGGCTGTGAGCGCTGCGATGCGGCTGCCTCTGGGGTGGGGGAGCTGCGAACGGGGCAGCAAAGTGCTGGGACTTTGCATCCCCCCCATGGGGATTTCCTGGGCATTTACCTGCCCCAAGCACATGCTGCTTAGGAAGCGCAGAGGAATCCCCTGCAGCTGCCGGGACACAGCCCGTGGCAAACAGGCCTCATGCCCTAGGGCACTTTCACCCCCTTCCCTGGCAGGAGCATGCCCCAAATGGCTCGTGCGTGCTGCAGAAAGGCCGTCTCGGGCCGTGCCCTGATGCTCGTGCGGCATCCAGCCGCACACGGGGTAGGAGCAGCTGGACTGAGCAGGCATCCTGGTTGTTGGCACGTGCCAGAGTGAGCTGAGATAATCCAAGTGTGCTCCCTGGCAGAAATGTCCCGTTCTGCCAACACGTCACGCTCCGTCACGGGTTGCATGCAAGGAAAATCCCTTGTCCCTCAGGCCGCTTGGACTGGCAGGGCAGGAGCGCAGTTTGTCTTTGCCCAGGCATGTTCGGTAGCCAGAAGAGCACATGAGACCATCTCCTCGGCCCTTAGGAAAGCCCGGAAAAGACCTTGCAAGGTCCTCCAGCCCAGCCCTCTGCTCGAGGCAAGAGATGTCATCCCTCCTTGGGGGATTTCTAGCAGACGCCGGATTTGAGGCTTTCCAGAGCAGCCTGTGTGCCTTGGGGTCTCTTGAGGTCCCATCCTCTCTAGGAGAGATTGGTGCAACCGTCCTCGAAGAGCACTTCTTGATTTGAGAGGCTTGGATTATGCGTCCAGATCCCAGTTGTAGACCTGTCTCTGTTTTCTCCAGCTGGGAAACTTCCATTTCCGCCCTCCGCGCGGTCACTTGCTAGTAAAGGAAGCAGTTATACCGGCTGCCCGGCGAGGAGCTGGGCTTGAGGAAGCCCCTTGTTATGAATAGGATCTCTGTTCTGCGCTGTCATTAAGATCCAGCGCCAGATACAGCGCCGAGATGCTTTGAAGGGGAAACGGCGTCTCCCGTTCGGGGCCCCCGTGCTTCTCCGCGCGGAGAAGAGCAGGGGGAAGGGGCTCGAGGTTGGGGGAGAGACGAGCCAACGGGTCAGGGAAGCGCAGGCCGCCTTTTCATCTGCTCCCTCCGTCAGCCCATTAGAAGGTGTTGAGGGTAGAAATGTTGGTGCATTAGAAAATAGGAAGGAAACAATGAGCAAACTCGGAGTGAAATGTTTTTTTCCCTTGGAGGTTTGGGATGGGGCGGTCATTTTTCATTCGGGGGGACGGGCTTCGACCCACGATGGAGCCGTTAAAACAAAAAAGTCGAAGCTATTTCAAAATGTTTGGGGTGTCAGGATCGTCCCTCCCCAAACGAGGAAACATTTTGCAAAATAGCGAGGCAGATTCCTCTTCTCATCGCTGTGTGTTTGGAGCACATTTCGCCAGGAAACGGCCTGAAAATCCATGATGTTATGTTGCTTTCCATGACCTTGCAGCCTGCAGACAGAGCAGTGGTGGGGTGGGGGGCATCTAGGAGCAAGATATATGTGTGTGTGTATATATATACGTGTGTGTGTATGTATGTGTGTGTATATATATAGATATATATATGTGTGTATATATATACGTGTGTGTGTGTATATATGTGTGTATGTGTGTGTATATATATAGATATATATATGTGTGTATATATATACGTGTGTGTGTGTATATATGTGTGTATGTGTGTGTATATATATAGATATATATATGTGTGTATATATATACGTGTGTGTGTGTATATATATATATATTTATGTATATAGAGAGCAAGTTAACCTCTGCACCATATAAACAGCAGCCCTGAAATGCAGCTGTCTCTGGGGCGGAGCGAGGCAGCTGCTGCACAAAGCGTTCAGGCCTCGGCTGGGGTATCGGGTGCAGTTCTGGGCTCTCATTTTTCAGGGGGATGGACCCGATTATCTGTAAGGTCCCCGAACATCTGTGAAACTGCGAGGATGCAGAAGGGGGCCTGGAGGCGGGTGGCAAGGATAGCAGAGGCGTGCCGCTGTGCGAGGAAAGGCGGAGGGAGCCAGGCACGTGTGGGCTGCAGGAGAGGAGACAAAAGGAGGAGGTGATCACAGATTTCCCCCCAAAAGAGGGAGCGTGTCTGTTCCCCCTGCCGCAGAGGGCAGGACAGAGGCAGCGGGTCCAGACGGCAGCACGGCAGCTTGAGATGAAACCTGGGAGGAAAGGCGCCCGGCTGTCGGGCCGGCAGGGTGGTGGTCTCCTGCCTGGACGGGCATCTGTTCTGCCTGGTTTAGGGACATCCTGCATCTGAAGCAATGACCCTGGGGTGTCTCCCCACCTTCCCGTGACTCAATCGTACCAGGTTGGACCGCAACCCGCCCCCAGCTGCTTTGCAAAACATCTGGAGGTCACCGCCGCCTGGCGAGGCTGCAACAGGCCCCCGTGGACATGGGGCCCGCGGGAAGCCCGGGGGCAGGGCAGGCTGGGCAGGGGCTGCGGGCGCATTGCTGCTCCCCTTTGGTAAAACCACATCAGTGGTGGCAGTCGCTGGCGCGGCTGGGGCTGCCTGCAACCTCGCTGGCTGAGGCTCGCCCTCCAGCGAGGACTGTCTGCCAGATGTGCACGTTGCAACATCTCCTGGGGGGAGGCTGGCTCTGGGGAGGGGACGCGCCTTGTCAGCTCCTGGAAGGACCAGGAGGCCTTCAAAGCATCCAGCAAAGCCCGTCGCAGTGGCAGCAAACGTTACCTGCGGGCGTGCACGTCGGCGTGCTGTGCTGCGCCTTCCCTATAGGCACAGCCTCCTTCGCACACGTGCTATTTGCACCCGCCCTTTGGCTCACCAGAGGCACCCCTGAGCGGCGCCAGCCGGGCATGAGAGCCGTCGCATGAGCTGCACTGGGGCACGAGGAACATGAGCTATGGGTGGAAAGAGGGGCGACCGCCTGGCCCGGGCCGGCCTCTCCGCAAACATCTGCCCAGCTGCAGGCGGTCACAGCTCCCTGAAGACTTGCTGCTAGTCAGGTCTCGCTGCACAAGGTTCATCCAAAGGACTTTGGGCAGCCAAAATCAGGGCTCTTTGCCTGCTACAGACCCCGCGCGTGTCGAGCCGTCTAGGCAGCGCTTGGGGGCTTGCGTCGCCCCCGAACAAGAACCAGTCTGTCCGTGTCTGCGCGGTGCGGGAGGCAGGCTATTTGGCGCTGCCCCTCAGCTGCTGCACCGCAGGGATAGGTCTGCGGAGAGATTTGGCTGATTTGGGACCGTTTTTTTCCAACGTGGGCTTTTTGGGAGCCTGGACACGGCCCCTACATGTCAGAAACCCCAGGCTGGTCGTGGCCCGTCCGTGAGCCGTGGCAGAGCCTTCCCAGACACGCCAGGGATCGGGGCCAGGCCGGGCCGGGAGGAGGGGAGCAGGCTTGGGGCCAGGACCGTTGCAGCATACCACAGGCCGGTTATTTATGGGAGACGTCTCGCACAAGTGAGCGTTCGCAGGGATGATGCTCTCCAGGCGCCGCCGCGGGCTCGGCTGCAGAGCCCGAGCCGCGCGTCCTCTCTCTGCCAGGGACCCGGGCCGTGTTGCGGTGGTGGTTTGGACGTGGCAGGGCTAAGCCGGCACTGCCAGAGCTGGAGAGGCTGTGGGGTGATGGAGCGAGCTGCCAAGGGGTCAGCGGCATTGCCCCCATTTTACAGATGGGGAAACAGAGGCGAGGCATGATGAAGCGAGGCACTCAGCGTCCCAGTCCAGGTCACGCTCCCTCCTCTCTCTCAGCTACAGAGGCCACAATCTCTCACAACCTCCCAGGCCACGGACAGGAAGGGTGCTGTGGTGGTTTAGGGCTCCCTGCTCTGCCACAGACTCTCCGTGCAGCCTCAGACGAGTCACCTCCCCTCTCCGGGCTGTTGAATGGGGGTCACAGCAGGGCCCTGCCACGCAGGGGCCTTGCCGGGACACCTGCCCCATCCCTGCCCCGCAGAGTGGCCCCGGTCTTGTCCCCACAGGCTCTGCAAGGCAGGCGTGGCGTGCCCTGCGTCCAGCGTCGGCTCCACCCCGTCCTGCAGTCACCCCGTGGCCGACATGGGCAGGCTCACCGAGGTCCACCCTGGGAACTACATCTTCTGCGGTAAGCCTCCACGCCTGGCCCCAGACCTGGGGCTGCCCAGGCCCCCACGTGCCTCCTCCAGCACCGGCGGGGACACGGGAAGCCACTTGAGCCCGTGGGCTCCTCTCGCTCTGCAGACCTGCAGCAGGTGACGATTGGGTCTTGCCAGCTGGAGGACGTCGCCATCCGGGTCCTCACCAGGGTGATCGGCCACTACCCGCATCGCAACCAGCTCCTGGTGGACTG